TACATAAAACACATAATTGATATATATTGCAATTGAGTAATATATATATATATATATATATATATATATATATATATATATATATATATAAAATACTTTTCTCATAATGTAACCTGTAAATCTGTTGTAATAAACTTATATAAGTCAAAGTTAGTATAAAACAAATAAATATAAGTTGTTGCAAAGATTTAGTGTTTATACTTTATAGTATGTTTTACACTATTTTTATCAATTTGGTGTAGAAGATAGTTTTCAGGGTTAGATATTATTAAATGTAAACCAAAACAGTGATTCTTAAACAAGTTTTTCTTATGTTCACTTTATATAGATTGTTACTAAGAAGAAAGTGTGCATGTCAAAATTCAGACACTTGGTGAAAAATAAATATTGATGTGGATCCTTCTATTAAGGATGCTACGTTTGGAAAGAGTGCATCTTTTTTTATAGAGACCGATGACATTATTGTTGGGTTTATATCCACACAAGCTATAAAGATTTGGGCTGTAAAACTCATTGTGTTTTCACTTGGGTGGTTGTGCATTCTTTTATTCGGCTATTTTTATGCCTCCTGCAAATGAAGGAAAGACGTGGTTAGGGAGTTTAGCATTGTGGGGTTTAGCTACTCCAAATTCAGAGATGTCGGATTCTTTCAGAGATGTCGGATTCTTGAGGCTTTATCTTACATGCTTGTATTTCTCTACAATAACTATAACAACAATCGGTAAGTTCAAAATAAAACTAAAATATTTTGCTTATTTGACCTAAGGTTATATGCAAATAAATTGAATAATAAGATTAACTTTTTGCTTTTTTCTAATAATGTGAATGTGGATTTCTTTTCAGGTTATGGAGGCATTCATCCCACAAGTGAGATGGATATAATAATTACAAAAATGCAAAATATTTTAGTTTTATTATTCAATTTATTTGCATATAACCTTAGGCCAAATAAGCAAAATATTTCAGTTTTATTTTGAACTTACCGATTGTGGTTGTAGTTATTGTACACAAATACAAACATGTGAGATAAAGCCGCTAAACCTCCTCCTCCTCCCCCCCCCCCAAAAAAAAAATGCTAAACTCTCTAACCACGTCTTTCTTTCATTTTCACGGGGCATAAAAATAGCCGAATAGAAGAATGCACAACCACCCAAGTGAAACATAATGAGTTTTACAACCCAAATCTTTATAGCTTGTGTGGATATTAACCCAAGGATAATGTCACCGGTCTCTATAAAAAAAATACACTCTTTCCAAACGTAGCATCCTTAATAGAAGGATGCACCTCAATACTTCTTTTCCACCAAGTGCTTGAATTTTGACATGCACACTTTCTTCTTAGTAAACAATCTATATAAAGTGAACATAAGAAAAAATTGTTTAAGAATCACTGTTTTGGTTTGGTGTATTAGGTTTACAGTTAATAATCTAACCCTAAAAACTATCTTCTACAACAAATTGATAAAAATAGTGTAAAACATACTATAAAATATAAACACTAAATCTTTGCAACAACTTATATTTATTTATTTTATACTAACTTTGACTTATATAAGTTTATTACAACAGATTTACAGGTTATATTATGAGAAAAGTATTATATATATATATATATATATATATATATATATATTAATTTATTACTCAATTGCAATATATGTCAATTATGTGTTTTATGTAAATATGTATTGTGTTTTATACTATAAAAACTTTTGATAAGCTACAAATGTATAAATTCAAAGTAGAAGAACCGTTTTGTGCTAATGAAACTATAACACTATATTTTGTGTTAACGAATAGTATAACACTAAATTTGGTGTTATGCTATTCAACAAAAAAGGAAACATAAATGCTATCAACTTTTCATCAAGTCATGGAGCATACATACCTGGTAGAGGTAAACCCATGGAAGATATGCAATGAGATTTGACGGATAATTATTCACAATAAATTAGATTAGAATAAGTTAAAACAATAATTTTATAAGACTAGATTATTCGGTTATATAGCAAAATCGACTAACCTCAACATTTATTAGCAGAATCCAAGAATCCAAAACAATAATTTTTTTAGATAACACCTCGATGAAGGCAAATTGTATTGGGGTTATAAATATTGATAACAAATCTAACACATTTATGACCAGAATCCAAGAATCCACAGTCGATTCAATCTGCATCAGAAATTAGATACGAGTTAGGGTTCACCACTTTGATTAAAAATTATTCAAACATATAGAATCACTAATGAAGTTTGTTGATGAAAGTGATTAAGCCACACCATGTTAACTTCCTAGAGTTAGACATTTAAACTTTTGACTCTATTACATTTTACATCCAATAACTTTAGCACATGCAGAGAGAATGGAAGTGGAATAAGATTTAGAAACATATGAATGTTGCTTAGTCAACAATGTCAACCATAGTAAAGAACATTGCCCTTTGACGGAACAAGATTTAAGTATTTGAAATGTGTAGTGAACTGTTTCAACCACATTGAATTTAAAACAGCCAATATCATCAACTAGAGTTAATTCAGAAAAAAGAGTGTGTCCTCTTTTGTTCAATCATCCACTTTGCTCAAAATTATAACCTATTTCCAAAGCCTTACTGAGAACTTTTCAAAAACAGTTAATAACATAGGCATAAAAGATTACTATATCAGATTCCAAATAAAAAAAGTAAAGAAAATGCACATAAAAAGAGGGTTTATGGAATCAGTGGGGGTCGAGGGGAAAAAAGGGTTATTGTTAGTGTTAGAATGTTAGTATTCATTGTTTCCATCTTTACTTCTTCACTAATCAGTAATGTGATGAAAAAAAAATCGAATACAGAAATCCAGTCTAAAAACTTACCTAGGGGTGAAATTTTGTGATGAAGAACGAGAATCAGAGGTTGAGAGTTGTTAGCTTTCTGTCGAAGTGTCGACGTCGTTGTTGAATGTTGATGAGAAACAGGTGTGGTTCGGAGGAGGATCAACGCAGGCTTATCAACGGAACAGTGAAGAGGAGTGAAGAGTGCGTGAGTCGAATAAGAAAATATCAGGGATAATTTCTAGAAAACTCTAGAAAAATCTCACGGAATTTTTTTTTAATAAATTCTTAAATTTAATTTTTTAACAAAACATTCGTCTTTTTTACTTTTTGAATAGAAAAATCTAAAAAACACACTAATTTATTCACTTTAACCATTTTTGACCTATTCAGTAGGTCATGAGACAAAATTGTTAGTTTTTCGAAAATAATAAACTTTTCTACAGATTTCATCAATATTTGTATATAATGTATAAACATATTTTTTACGTATTTATATATATTTTTACGTATGTATATACTTTTTTAAGTTTTTATATGTATATGTTTAAGTATTTTAATGTATTTTTAAATATATAAACATATTTTTATGTATCTTTTAACAATTTTACATATTTTTGTTATGTACTTTTATGTGTTATTTTTCTATGTATTACATATTTATATGTATTTTTACATATTTATATATTTTTGAAGTTTTTTATATAGATTTTTATGTATTTTAAAAATATAACGTATTTTTTAAGTATTTATATGTATTTTACATATGTTTTAATGTATTTTTATGTGTTTTTTATGTATAACGTGTAACAACCCAATTTTCAAAAAAAAAAATCATTTTTAAAATATCAAAACATTTCTAATCATCCATGAAATCTCGACACAATTGTTTTCAATTTCATACATCAACAAATTTTATTTCAAATATCAGAGTGTCCCAAAAGAAAAACGCCTGTGAGAGTGCAGGTCGCGCCATCAGACCTTGCCCTTGCCTTTAGGCTCAGAAGTACCTGAAACAATCAACAAACTGTAAGC